CAATTTTCTTTTTTCACCGAATCTATTGCTTCGTGCATTAATTTTTCAACATCAGCCATCTTAAATGTTATATTTTTAGATGCAACTTGTCCCTTAACTTGTGCCCATATCATTTCGATTGGATTGTACTGACAATGATAAGGTGGTAACCGTACAACTTCATGTCCCATTTTAAGGGCCAATTCATCCAGCTCGTATTTTTTTTCGGTTGGTATTAAGACTTTAACTCTTTCACGAAGCTCAGCAACTGTTTCAAGTGGAGAAAAATCAATATTTTTTTTGGTTAACCATTCTTGTATATCGGCTTTTCGGGCATTGCTTTTTGGAAAATTATCTTCCAACATTGAGTGGTATGGAGCGTTGTCCATGACGATGACACATGATTCTTCAAGGGATTGCAACATTTGTACGAACCAAGATCTAAAAACTTCAGCATTCATTTGATTATGGTAGTCTTCTGTATTGCCTGATTTGCTACGAAAAATTAATTTTGCTTCCTTAATAAAACCATAATGACTTGAACCTGCATGGCAAACAATGAGCCGACCTCCCTTACCGGTAGGTACTTTTAAACCTTCAGTTTCATCTTCATTTTGCCATATATACGTTTTAGAGTGGTTTTGATTCACCCAGGTCTCGTCTAAGTAAATTACAGAACGGGAATCGTTATTTTTTCGGAGTGTACACATCGTACGCAAAAATTTACACCTCAAGGCAACAATGTCGTTTCGCTCCATTAAAAATTTACGTCCGTCGTTACATTTTTTATACGTAAATTTTAATTTTGTCAACAATCTTTTTATGGAAGCAAGACTACCTTTATAATCAAATTTTTGTTGAATAGAATTTAAAATTAATCTTGATGTAGGATATTCACCTTTTTCATAAAATTCATGCACAGTTCGTCGAACAACATCGTTATCGAAATCGTCCAGTTCTGTGGCATACTTTTTCCGTTTATACGTTTTTCGCGGTGAGTTAAATGACGGTCCAGGTTGTGACGAGTCTGAGACATCGTCAGTAGTAGATGATCCTTCTGCACACACTCGTCTTACTGTCATAAGAGATACACCACACGCGTCCGCAGTAATTTTTTGAGTCTGTTTAAAATATTGTTTTAAGACCTCGTCATCTGAAGTAGCCAGATTTTTTAAATAATTGTACACATTAAAAATAACTTTTTTGGTTTGACTACGAGTGTCATTGTTTTTAAAAGGCATTTTAACGTTAAATAATTAAAAATTATTATTAATTTAACAAACTATGTATAGTTATAACACCAAAAGCAGACCGAATATTGTATCACTGTTAACTAAACACGTGCGTTCACTATGTCCAGCTCACGAGGAATGACAATTGTAATGTTAAACACAATGTAGGGACGTAGGGTCTGCCTTTAACCTTCCAGTGGGCGCGCCATTATTTGAAACAAGACAGGTCGCGCGTTGTAAATTTTACAACAGTCCTAATATGCTGTGATAGTCGTTCATATTACATCTAATAATAAAATAAACAATAGGTACGTTCACAAAGTTGTTTTTATTTAAATACTATTATAATTATGTTCTATTAAAAAATCAATACGTCTTATTATTATTACATAAAAAATTAAAATTATTTTTAGTATTTGTTTACAGTAAGAAATTATTCAGAATTGTCATTGTCATCGTTATTAGAACACTTTTCACAAATAATAATTTTTTTTGAATGTAGCTTACATATAAATCGCATACACTTGGTGCACTTCATAGATGTAGCCGCATTTTTTTTTCTCCCACATTCGAACCAAAACGTATAAAAATAATAAAAAAAAACATATTATAAAAAAAATTAAAATGTATATATTATAATTATATATTATTGCATAGTGATATAAAACAATACTTACATATTTTTGTTCTTATTACCACACAAAAATAAAAATTACAAAATAATAAGTCAGATACAACGAACGGCGCGTTTTGTGTTTGGCGTAGGTACACGGAATGGCGCGTGTTGTATTTTGTCACAACACTATAAGTACTTCGTCGATTGTCTGCAATAAAGTGAACTGAAACACTTCAAAAATAGTCTAAAACGTAGATAATAACATTACAGAGGAATACCCATGACCGCCGATAAGATAAAAATTAGATAAAAGTTGAATAAACAAATAAATATAAAACTGTTGTATTATTTACAACAGCGCGCCCGCTGGAAGGTAGAGTAGCAGCTGCTAACATAAAAGGAATGTCTATTGAATATGGTTCCGCCAAAACGAATCATGGATCACGAGACGGCCAGCGGTAGGTAAATAGTACAAAACGGAGAACCCCTGGATTCAACAATATTTGGACACCACCCATCGACCTTGAACGTTCACTTTTCGTGAGCCGGACTGTAGTTGTATACTCGTATTCAATAATTTATTAACCGTCTTAACCTATATAAATCACAAAAACGTTGAAAACGCATGGTCTTATGATAAGACTCTTTATCTACAAAACCGTGTTGAAAACGTTAGAACTAGAGCACGTGAGAGCCGTTTCTATAGTCATATAGGTCGGGACCCCGCGAGCCGACGCCCACCCTACCGATGACACGGCGTCTATCGGATATTCACGTTTGTAAATTCAATTAGGTCGGTCGCTGGTGGCGCTGGATTTAATTGTTCTTGAATAAACAGATGGCCATTTTTTTAGGTTTTTTATGGTAGTTTCTTAGAGGCATTGTTTTATTAATTTTTCTTATTTTTATTAAGTTAGAGGCATTTGTTGGTTAAATACTATTTTACAATTTTCTAAAAAAATAACAGATTATTATTAAAATAATAATAATAACATTTCGATTTTGGGGGGGCTAAGCCCCCCCCCCCCCGATGTACGCCTATGGACGCAAGAATGTGTTAACGAAAGGTTGTAGTATATTTGACCCTTGCAACTTAACAAACGTTAAAGTATTTCTGAACTCGAGCTTATCCATACGATAATTTGAATTTAGATTTTACTAAAAATAATTTCACCTTATTGTATAATATGTATACATCGTTTCAATAACCGTACTATGAAAAAAGAATTCGTAACCCGATATTGAGTCCTACTTTTCTAGCAAACGCCCCAATTATAGTCATCGATACTTTGAAACAGAACGATTCAGCCACAGCTGAAACACTGTTCAGTTGGAAATTGAAGCTTCAGAATCGCTCACAGGTGTGACTGCTTACTGTTTATTAATTCATGATCGTATTGTAGAATATGTACCTTTTACTAGAGAAGTAAGAAAACTTGTTTAAATATAATTAAGAATTTATTTATAACAATAAAAAAACTATGATTTAATCATTTGTGTTCTTTTATTTGAAGTAATTATTTCAGTTTTAAGATTTATCAAAAAAATTTAGTAAATGACAAATATTTTTTGTGTGAGCTGAAATTTGGAAGACAATCAGTGTGAAATCTCTGTATTGTGTTACGCGGTAAATCGAAGTGCTTCAAGTGGACATTCCCCCCTTGAACTTTTTTTTTTACCGTGGAAAAGCTGGCTGTGAACATACAAATATATACTACTGATATATGGCAACGGGACGTTTAGACGTAACAACTAGTTGAGTCCTATATTTATATTATGGGCAATAGCACGTTATGGAACAAAGTGGCAATATAACGTTTTGGAAACTAATAATATAGGCGATACCATGTTTTGAAACAAATACTGATTTTAAGATCGATACCACTGAAAAAATAATCGTGATATCGAAAAAATGATTTAAAATTCGTATTCCCCAGCAATTTACCATAAGAATCGATATCTAACTAGATTTTGATCAAAATGGCAATAGTGAGTTTTGGAATCCTTCATATGGTAAGGTTATTTGTTATTATTTTTATTATAAGTAGGTAGTATAAATTATATTATTCACTAGGTATGTATGTATACATTAGGCCTAACCGCCTAGGTACATTATGTATGTTTTTATATTGTTATTTGTATTTAGTGGTACATTTTTCTTATACATAATATAGGTATTAACATATTTTCCTTTGACTAAAAGCTAAATATTACCTAATTAATAAATAGTCCATCATAAATTTTAAAATTAATATACCTAGTTATTATTCATATGTTATAGGTTATAGCCCATAGGTGTATATAAATTATAAGTGCAGGTACCTATATTCATTATAACTATACACGATAAATTTATAAACTCTTATTAGGTAGTAAGTATTTAAATATCATTATGTCCAATATAATTACTAATTTACAATTAACTATAGGAATACAACATAATATTACTGTTCCTAAATAATATTACCTTAGTTCATGAACTCGTAGCTATTTGATCATTGATCATTGAAGTTTTAATGTTACCACAATAATCAATATCGTATAATGCATATAATATATTATACCTACATTAATCATTCATAATAAAATCCATTCATCATAAAAAGGCGGCAAATGTATATCAATAGATTATAAGTTAAAAATGATAATTTTGATGATTATAAACTGTTAGGCGGCAAATTTAAATAGACCAATCAGGAGCATCATATCGTTACCGGGTCCATAACAGGGTGCAGTACCTATGTTAAAATGCTACCCGGCCTGTATTATCAGTGGTATGAAACTCCGTGAATTGGCCGAATCGGGCGATTATGGCCTTGAACACGGTTTCCAGGGGGGCGTGACATACTTGAATTAGGGAATGGTAAACAAGACGACCCCGCTTAACTTATCCCGCCATAGTCTTGGAACCGTTTTCATAATATTTGTAACCATGGGTCTAACATAAATTTTGGTGCGTGGAACCTTTTTTTTTTTTCGTAGGTTCGGACTTCAGATCATAGGTAACCAAGACCCCAATCAGCTGATCGAGTTTCGCTTCTATATTGTTCTATGGTATTATTTTAATGTATTTTGTGGTAAAGTAAATAAAATAAAACGTGTCATAAAATAGTTCCATAACACATTTAATTTGTGGTTTTGGTGGTGTACGGTATCAATAAAAATCACGGCCGTCATTTTTTCCCCTTTTTTGATGCTGTTCTCGATCCTTTCTTCGAACCTTTTCTTGACTTCTTCTTTCCACCAGTGATCACGACGGTGGTCGTTACGTCATCATTCAAAAACTGCGTCTCGGCATCCGTGCGCTTTATATCTGGCGGGGCGTTAGGCAGACGCATTTCAACTTGCAAGCAGGCTACGTCGGCGGGGTTTTCGTACGCCTTCGATAGACGCAAAACAAAAACGTGCTCCTTGTCGTCCACAGGTAACCCAGTGACTGGGCCGACTGCCAGATTATTGGCGGACACCGGAACCGCTGGCAACACTTGCATTGTCCTCTTGCGCTGAGTGTTGATGTACTTTGTGGCAGTCGGTCGGTCGACAACGACGGTTGTCGGCGCAACGGATTGGCCATTGTTCTCAGTTGTAGTGGTCTTGACAGTAGATGCCTTTTTTCTGCCCAGATGACCCAGGTGGAACGTGGCACGGTCACCGGCTACCCCAACTTGGCCGGGCAGAAGTCGAATCATGTTCGGGCCCAACCGGCCGATCGCCAACTTCTTCTTATTCACACAGAATGTCCGCATTAGCTGTAACAGCACATCACATCAATTGCCATTTTAGAAAGTAAAAAAAAAACGATACACACAGGCACACAGCTGCAGTATTCAACAATTGAAAATAATAGGAGTTCACTTAAGAGGACGTGTCATGGAAAAAAATCACTCGAAAAATTCCTTTAAAAACATGTTTGCGCTTTCCAATAACATGGGTTACTGAGTGGTTTTATCATAAAACACCTATGAACAAAATTTTAGAGGAGATTTTTATCTGGTTCCATAAGAAGTCCGATTTTTGAAATTTTCATTTCTAAGTAATAAAATTAACTTTTGAAAAATTAAAAAAAGTGTATTATTAATTATGATATATTTCATGATGTTTTAAAGATATCAAAAATCGTGCTTCTTACGGAACCAGATAAAAATCTCCTCTACAATTTTGTTCATAATTATTTTTACAATTAAACCACTCAGTAACCCATATTATTGGAACGCGAAAAGTATGTTTTATAAGAAAACTGCATAAAATTACGCTCGTCAAGTGCTGCGCCCGTAAGCAGTGGCAGCGTTCGATACTAGGTGTTCATACTTCATACCACCACCCCGCGCGCGATAACGGCAGTAGTGCAGTACCGCACCCTAGTCAAAACAGATTTTCTATCGCAGCCGAGCGTCCGTACCACAGAACAACCAGAAGGGAATCATATTTCATTTAACATAGGCTCTTATGGGAGATGATAAAACCACGTCCAACATTTCTAAAATTTAAACGTGCTGCCACGTACCGGGAATTTCCCTTTTTTCTTTATATCGTGCAGCACTGTTTATTTGTTCAAATTCCTAATATATTATTATATTCAAACAATCAAACCGATTTTTTTTAAGAAATTGTATTTTTACCATTTATCTAAGTACAGAATCTAAGAAAAACAAAAACTATACATATTTTATTTATCACTATCATTTAGTTGATGAATGAACAAAAATGCATAGGTACACAGAAGATTACAAAACAAATTACGTACGCCGCGCTGGTTTTAAATAATCTAAGCAGTACTAATTTTATTTTATTTTTGGGAACTTGTGTAATTAGTACACGCAATTGCTAAGACAAATTGAAGATTTATTCTAAATAAATATACTGGTAGAAGTATGTGACATTGTTACATAATCTGTACGGTGTACCTATAGTCAGTAGGAATACCTCAAACTCACATTTACTACTCTCTAAGAGCTGTAAAATTTAAATTATTACACAGTATAAATTTAATTTATTTTTTTGTAAAGTATCAAAAACAAATTACATCATCGTAAACAATAATTACAAATAATAAACAAATATAACAATCAATACGCATAACAAGTTAACATTATAATTTATTTAATAGGAAAATTCAGACTTTGATAGTTACCAAATGAGGAATATTAATTATGAAAGTACGTTAGTACTTGACTAAAAAATTACAAAAATAATAAAGTTAAAATAACAATAATGAGTGGAATTGCAGATTAACAGTGTAGCCACAAACCACAGAAAACTTAAAAAAAGGGAATTTCTCGGTACGTGGCAGCACGTTTAAAATCTAGAAATGTTGGACGGTTTTTCGATGAGCCTTAAGATTCCCATCTGTTTGTTTTGTGTCCGTAAATAGTTTATAAATAACCAGATAAGAAAATGATTAATATATTTGTAACAAATATTATTTAATTTGGTTCGATTTCATATTTTGTATTCGTATCTGAATTTTATACAAATAAAAACTATATTTTTGTTCTTCAAGTAATACGCCTTGCCTTATTGAAGCCATTTACAATAAAAATACCTATTATAAAAATTGTAGAGGAGAACTTTTTGAACAATCGTAAGGAATCAGATTTTTGATATTGTATTATAATTGTCCAATGTCACATGGTAAATTAACACGGTTTTTAACTATTTATCGATTAATTATTTAATTATTTAACCAATTAATAAAAATATAAAAAATCGGGTTTCTTACGATTGTTAAAAAAGTTCTTCTCTATAACTTTTATAATAGGTAGTTTTGCTGTAAACCATTTTAATAAGCCGCATTACTTGATTTATCGAAATAATTGTGTATAATGAAAAAAAAGAAACACTCAAAAAACCATTTATGACAGAAATTATTTAATGTAGACAATCTGAACCACAACCAGGTAAGTGGTACATATAAATTGAATATAATCAACCAAATTAAATTAGATGGAATTGAGTGGGTACATATTTTATGTTCATAAACAATTGTGGAGAGAAAAATAACTGCAGTTCGCCTACTACTTCAACTTTAACACCTGCAGTACCATATATATAAATGAAGACAGTAAACATTTGTAAGTTTAAAAAAAATAGTCTTAGTATTTACAAAAATAAAATAAAAATACCTATATATTTTATGTTCATAAACAATTTTAGTGAGAATAATAACTACGATTTTCTATCTACTCCAACTTAAATTTATGGCAGTAGCAGATAGTGATATCTTGTAAGTTAGATAAATTAGTATTTTTATTTTTAAATAACAATAAGGAATTTTATACTTTCCCAGTGAGTGTAACACAACACCAATTGAAGAAATTTCCAATAAAAAAAAAAAAAAAATTATAAAAATATTTAATGATAAATATTAATATAATTCTAAAATAAAACTAAAAATGCCCTATAAAAAAATGATTTTTTAAAAATGTTAAATGTATACATTAAATTATTTTATTTTTAAAGAACAAAAATTGTTTGTTTATTAGTAAATAAACAAGTAATAAATTAGTAATAAACAAACAATTTTTGTTCTTTAAAAAATAAAATAATTTAATGTATACATTTAAGTTTCAAACATTTAATATAATAATTAATATAATAATTTTTTTATAGGGCATTTTTTTTTTGTGGTGAATCGAATAGTATATTATATACTTGGTGGTAGACGAATTGTAGGCATGGCATATTTATTTCTACAAATTCAAAATCATGTAGCGAAATGCATAGATACTCCTGGCTTTGGATGCACTTTTATTGACGTAGAGTTTGTGAAAGAAATTCGAAAAGACTTTGAATCTACATGGCTTTTTAAGTGTAAAATGCAACTTATTGACTACAATTTTATCAAAAACTAAAAAAGAAAGCAGAATTTATAAAATCACTCACACTTTTATTAAGTGCCAAAAAAACATTATAGTATGAAACCAGAATACAATCTGATAGCCAAACTTAGTTTATTGAACGAAGAAATCGTCTTACGCTTCTAATTTTTGTAATATTTGTAAAATGCGTCCGAACACTTCGTGTAAAAATACAGTGTTTGAAATTTTATATAATACCAATAATACTAAAACTAATGCTATCGATTATGGTATAGCATCGGAAGATATTGGAAAAGATCATTAAAAAACCAATACAAAAACGTGGGTTATTTGTAGATGATAATATTCCATATTTAGCAGCAACGCCTAGGAAAGTATTTTTTTTTCATTTTTTGATATGTATTGTCCAATTTTTTTTTCATACACATAAAAAACTTATTATATTTTATATAATATACTTATAGATGGTTTGAAGATATAATGCTACTTTTGAAGTCAAATGTCCGTTATCCATCAAAGATTATGAAAGTTTGGTACAAGCTCTTATTGAAAAAAAGTTTAGTTTTATACCTATTTTTGTACTTCACAGTCAGGTATTAAATATAAAAAATACTTTATTCGAATAATAGTTTAGATGAATATGTATGGTAAATTGTAATACCCACTAAAATAATAATGTTGCTTTTAGATTCCATATTTAATAAATAAAAACCATACAGTCAAGTTAAAAGAAAACACTAATTACTATTATCAGATTTAAGGCCAAATGCATATCACAATAAGGAATTTATGCTATTTTTTTATAATTACACCGAAGTGGAACAAACTCGAAATTATTAATTACTTTCTGAGTTATAAGTATTTTGTAGAAGTATTTTGGAAAGAAAAAATGGAATGAAATTTGAAATTGTAATTGTTTGTAAATAGTAAATTAAAATTTTATTTTATTTTTCGTTTCTATATATGAATTTTTAGTAAAATTTCTATTGATATTTTTTTTAAGTTTAGCATTTATTATACTTTCAGATTTTACGAAGAATGTTTACTACCTGAAATTGTTGATTCTCAAATCTCAATACAGAAAAAGAATGCAAAAATGTGATATTATTGACCCATCAAAGAAAATATTATAGACTATAAAGAAAAAAAGAAGATGCTCTGCTGTACAGTAGGTTACAAGTAGGTCACTGTATAATGGATGATATTAAATTTGAATTCAATGATATAATATCATTGTATAAGAAAAACGATTCTGAGCGGAGACGTTATGTCAGTCTAGGTATAAGGCATATTATATACTTATCCATGGTATTAAAAAAAATTGACCTATTATAGGTACCTATAATAAATTCCAAATTAATCATATCATAATATCCATTAGGTACTTAACGCGTTATAGATCAACAACAAACCCTGATACTATCATAACTATATAATAGTGTACTTAAGAAATTTCAAGTACCCACGAATAATATTATACACTCACAACGAAATAACTAAAATAGTTATTCTAGGTTTTTTGTATGTAATTTCATCCAAATTTAAACTTAAAATGACTATAAAAATAAACTGTGAATATGTATTTTTTAGATTTTTTGGTAACAGAATTAACTACCAACGTGCAAACGTCTTATTATAAATTTTCAATCCTTAGATATAAAATAACTATCCAATTTTAAATTTGATAAATTTATAAGGAATTTATAAGGAATCTTGTATCACATTTTAAAATCTTAGATTAAAAAAGAAAAATTTTTACGAATTCTTAACTCAAAATAGTTTGCTAATTTTCGTGATTTTTCCATATTTTGTCAATTTTTTTACTTTAAATACTTATAAAAAAAAAAATGCGACTAAGGATTTTTAATATTTTCATCTGCCTTTGAAAAAATATACTAGAAAACATCTATTAAATGATTCAAATGATTCTAATTAAAATGTTCACGCTTTTTTAACCAACTAATACATTTTTATTGATATTCATAAAAAAAAAAACTAATTAAATTGGAAACTGAAAATGTCCCTAAACAGTTCAAAATAAATAAAAATATTTTGAAAATGTTATTGTGTATAGAAAATGCAATTATAAACAACCAGTGAAAATTTCACTTATCTACGGTCATTTGTTTTAAAGTTACACCAAAAACCAAAATCAATTTTCTCGAAAACAGATTTTGTGTAAAAATTCCTGTTTTTCCTTAATTTTTCTTTTGTTTTTCAAGGCGCTTTTGAAAACTACTGGGAAATTTTTACTTTTGACCCCCTTAAGTACCAACTAGATTCACTTTCCTATCAGAAAAGATACTGTTGAAGGTGATGACACACACAAAAAAAAATTTAAAAAATTAAAAAAAACACATCATTGGACACACTCATCAAAATAAAGGGTTATTAAAGGGGCTATCTCAGTGGAGGTACAACCCCAAACATTTTCTTGTATAATATATATATATATAAGTAATTATTATTGTATAATACTACTTATGTATTACTGTTATTATACTGTATTCACCCACAATGTATTATATTTATAAAGACTTATGGTCGTTTAAATAAAGATGCCTTAGGCAGTTAAAAAAAAAAAAAAAAAACATCACTATAAAATCAATACATTCATCGTTCCACTCAGAAACTAAAAAGACAATTACAAATTATATTATAAATGTTGAACTTATATAAATTTTTTTCATTTTTAGGCAGTGAATGTACCCGATCTCTAAAAAATACAGATTGATAAATAATGATTTTAGAGAATTATTATTATCATTACGAGTATATACATTATAATATTAGGTATACGGTATACCTACCAGCAACATATTATTATTTTAATATAACATTAACAGTTGAAACTAAAAGATAAAACACGGAAAATTAATATTTCTTTAATTGCGCTGTATTTATTTTATTTATGATTTATTAGATTGTAGTATAAGTATTATATTTAAATAAGTAATAATTCAATAACTATAAATCAAGCTATGTTATAATACAGTTTCTACGATGTATATGTTGTGACATAAATTTAGGTAAACAGTATCTTAGTTTATAATCAGTAGTTCATAGGTACGCGAAGGTATTGAAAATATTATGGCGGCAATTGCGTATAATGAATAGACAACTTAAGAGAACGTGATAACCGCATGTGTTGTCTCCGTCCTACAAGTGCGTAACATAGAAAATTCCACGCAAAGCAGAACACGTGTAGCTCCATTAGTTTTAAATATAGAGTGAATTTACCTCTTATAAAGTCTAAAGGAAAGAATATTATCTAGACAACCTCATGGGCTTTTTATTATATTTATTTATATTTAACCTAACCTAACCTAACTTGTAAGACGAAGACAACACATGCGGGCACACATACGTCCTCTTAATGATACGAATGGCACCGGACAAACGTTCATAGACAAATAAACGGCGCTCCCTAACGAGCACTCGTCGCGCCGTCGTTGGCCGGTTGCGAATTGCGAATAGTAGGCGTGACTTAGAGCCTCGCGCTTGCTGATCGTGAAAACACCCAACAGTGCATCCTCTCAGTTGTTGCACGCTTAAATTTTTCGTGACACGTCCTCTTAATAAAATAAGAAAACCTATGAATTGTTTTATTTTTGAAAATACAATTACCTACCTATATCAGGAAAAAAGTCTATAGGGGCTTAATTTTATTTGACCCTATGGTATTTCAGTTATGCTATTATTACCAACACATATTATACTTACGCCACACATTGAACTTATAATTTGCTCTATCTACAGATAGTGACATTTTTAATGTATCAACCTTCTCAAATATTACTTACATTAGGTGGCATTCCGGTTCCTCGAAATGGACATTCCTGGGTTGTGTATTTATTGCAGCCAGTCACGCAACCGTAGTCCCCTGGAGTGCTCGAATTTTCTGCATCTTGACATACAGATGTTTCGAACAAGTAATCCCTCATCTTCTCCAATGCGGTAACCGCGCATCTTACCATTTTGGACTCATCCCGGCAACAAGCTCCACTATTTCTGGTTCGCTTAGTGTGTTCCATTTAAAGAAATTCTCGATTTGTAGTGTACAGTAAATTTTTTAATGATGTGTAGAATCGGGATTTTTTTATATTTTTATAGAAATAAAATTCAATAAAATATATGTTATAATTAACTGTATTTTTATGGTGGTTGCTATGTAGTATAATTTTGCATATTTAAGTCAGACGATTATTTATTAACAGGTTGACTGCCATGCTAAAAATGTGTAACCTGATATTATTGCATTGTGGGATCTAATAACCCTACAGTATACTTTTAACACTGGGCTTTGTGGGGTCTTTGAACCCTAAAGATTGAAATCATTTTTAGGCCTCGTAGAGTTATGAAAATCGTCAAAATATACACTTTCGTACGGAAACATATTTTGTCATGGCATCCTGGGCAATTCTGTTAAATGGTTTTGAAATTAAAATATTTATTATGAATCTAAATATATTTTGAATTTAACGACGTATTTTTCCAATGAATGTGCGTATACGGGTAATATACGTATAAAGATAAGCTAGTTTTATTTGTATTATTATATTATTTTATGTTATTACTTAATCGTGTTCTATCGCGCAGTGTACACTGTTGAATGCGTTGTTATTTCTACATTGTACGGTAACGACAACAATATATTGACTGTTACAATATATTGAATGTAATTATTAATTACAACCATTTATTTAAGAAATGGAAGATAATTGAAAATTGGTTAAATGACAGTGATGCGAAATTTATAATCTTGCGGTGGAAGATTATAACGTTGAAAAATCTTTTATAGATCGTTCAGACCAAATGGCATCTTATTCAAGTCCCTTAAAACGGTCAATAAAATGGTACAGAAAAGTAGCGTTTGATATACTTTTGTCAATTTCTGTTGTGAATGCTCTTTCACTCAGTCGAAAAAATTAGTTTATAAAGACTAGATATCTATTGTCTTGTAGGGTTTTTTCACCCCACATGTGTCATAGAGGCCTCATAGGGTTAATTGACCCTACTTGATTTTATTAAGTTAATTTGATTCTAATAAGTGAGATAATATAATGTTATTAGGTATTTTTTCTTAAATTCATTTTTTTAAGGTCAAATTGGAAAAGTTTGTTAGACAATACAAGACAAATTTCCGTTAAACGATATGTAAAGGTAAATGAGTTTACTTGAAGATTGAAGTGATGTAAAGAGGAGGTGGAAAAACCTCCGAAAAATTACGAAAAACAGCTAAAAATGGGATTTTAATTTTTAACGCTTTATCCATCACCATAGAAACGAAAAAAAAATAGAGATATAATATTTAATAATAACAATATAAAATATCTAGCTTGACAAACCGTCTCCCCTCATAATCATTGTTCGTATAAAATTATATGAATTCAAATTTAATACAATCTATACAGGGACCCCCTTGTAACCTACTGTACAGCAGAGCGACATTCGCTTACCCGCTTTTTTAATATTGCCTTATGGATGCAATTATTTTAAATTGATATTTGTTTCGATTAAATAATTTATAATATAAACTATTTTAGATGAGATACCTATATATTATTATACTGGGACAGAAACACCCTGTATGTGGAGCTCAATGTTCGATCTATGCATTCACAACCAAACCAAATCCGTTTACGACAAAGTATAACAAAATACAATTTCCTACACATTTAATGCATTTTGTTAATTAATAGGTAAAGAGACAATATTGTGTAAGTCTAACATTGTTAGCAATTGTACGTCATGTAATAGATAAAGTGTTGTAATGATTTTATCTTTTATGGAGTTTATTTTAGTCTGTGTTAAATAAGTTTTCATGACATGTAGAATGTCAATAAATTTCATTGATGAAAATTCAATAATATAAAATATACATATTATGCACGATTACTTTTCATATGAATTTAAAGTTCAGTACTCGAAAAGTATTTAAATAGTATTCTAAATACTATAAAATTATTTAAATACTTTACTTATAAAATAAATATATAATATATATTTATTTTATAAGTATTACATATTATTTTATAAAATGTTATATACATTATACAATTTCAAAGTTATATAGTTATATAAAGTAATATATAAGTATTTCCAATTGAAGTGAAACTTCTTTACTGAGAGTATGACAAAAATATTTAGTCACGTGACCGATTGATCAGAATGAAAATCACGCTAATACGGCGCATGTGCGTCGTATACCCGCTACGCAACGGTAGGCCGTCTCGTGCTCTGGGGGGGGGGGGCGTGGCGTCATAACGAGCACGGACCTCGAACACGCTGGCGTCGAAAGCGTCAAGGTACGGTGTCTCTTGCGCGATCGCGAAGGCGATCCGCTCCAAGATCGCGCATCCTTATCGCGTGACTACTGATACAATATAGATTAAATAAATATAGTTGGTTTTCCTTGCGCGATCGCGGTCGGCGATCTAAATTCGATCGCGGCGCTAACGCGAACTGACTGCTTCAAGAGCAGTCAAATCGCATTCGCGTCTCAAATCTCGATTAATTTGTTATTTTGAAAGAAAATTAAGATATGACATTAATTTTTGATTGACGGCTGGTTGACGTTGGTCGTGTCTTTGAACAATGAGTGCTGCAATGAGTAATGACTAAATTTAGCAAAGTAGAAGATGCAGCTTTGATTGAATGTGTTGCTAAAAATCCGCCAATTTATAATCCTTAAAACAAGGATTACAAAGATTTGAATATTAGAGATGCCATTTGGAAGAATATCAGTGACGTAGTAGTGAGTTAAATATAATAGTGTGTATAAATACTACTAATAAATACTCTCTGTAGGAATATAAAGTATATATATTAGGGTTTTTCATATTATAATATTACGAGTAGTACATCAGAGGTTTTCTTTAACCTTAAAATAACACAGACTATTTTTAAGAATAACTATTTTAGAAGTACATTAATGTAAATGTATGTTTACAATAAGCTAAAAATAAATTATTATATTAAAACTAGCTGACCCGGCCACGCGTTGCTGTGGCTAAAGTTTTTGTTATATTACATTATAGTAAACAATCTAAGAGGAACAATAAGAGAACATCAGTCACGGAGTCCACTATGCTTTTTCACACAGATGGTATTTGTAAAAAAATATGGTGATCTCCTTATTTGATTTTCTACTACTATAACCCTTTAGTACAATGAAATTATTTACTAACAAAGACGAAAATGTTGATGTTGGTATACAAATTCACTGGATTGAGATTTGAAGGGGAAGTACGTTGAACACAATTAATTAAAATGTTCTTACACTTGATATTAAGCAGAAATCAAAAGGTACAAAATAAAAATTTATCAGATTTATTATTTCCATATAATTTTATAACAAATATAAGTATATTACAGTATAATACAGTAAATAACATGTGACGCTTAAACTCATGAATGATATAGGCAAGGCAGACAGTCTTAAACTTTTAAACATTAATATCTATTTTTTTGAATTATAAATACTTTCAATTTAAATTTAATTTAACACCAATCGGTGCACAATGTTTTTGGTTAACCTGTTTTTAGCTTACACAAATAGATTCGACGGTTTCCCAACACGTGAACACGCAACATATAGTTGCCCATGAGAAAAACATGGATTTTCCAAATCTAAACCACAAATGGACATTGTTTGACCTTGAGATTTATTTATAGACATGGCGAAAGCTAAACGAATTGGAAACTGTAGCCTTTTGAAGGGTATGGTAGAATCTGATGGTATCATCGGAATACGTGGCAGCAGGACCACTTTTCCTTTAAACTTCCCAGACAAAATGGTTGCTTCAAGAATGTTTCCGGTGATCTTTTTGATGACCAAACGCGTACCGTTACATAATTGAGGTGGATTCAAATTACGGAGGAGAATAATAGGGGAACCAATCTTTAATCGAAGATTATGTGGTGGCATTCCAGGGATATCTAATGAATTTAAAAATTCAATCGGAAAATTTACACTTTCATTTTCATTAACAACAGTATCGATTGATTTAAAAGACATCAGATCGCCTGGTAACAACTGTTGTATCTGGAAGTTAATTTCGTCAACATCGACGTTTTTGGCTGCCAAAATCGCCCGTTGACTAAGCCATTCATGATTCAAATAATTATTCTGGAAAATACTCTGAATCAATTCATTTTTATCCTGAACAACAGTGCAAAAATTGTCTGGTAGTTTAATGCATTGCGTATTTGGTTGCAGTTCTATTTTACCGTTCCCAATATCTAATAGTTGTTCGGAAAATATTTGTGCTGATGGATCATTTTGCAATTGTACTCGCATATTTATGGTCAATCGAAGTGTTTCAACACTTCACCATAAGAATGATTCTTTCAAACATGCATTAATCTCATCCGCGAAAGTAGAGCGAGGTATAACCGGTAAGGTCTGCCGGAAGTCACCAGACAAAAGTAAGATAGCACCACCGAAAAGTTTATTATTGCTGTTTAAATCATGCATAGTTCTGTTTAATGCTTCAAGTGAATATTTCTGTGCCATTGTGCACTCATCCCAAATTATTATAGAACTCTTCCGCAACACTGCAGCTATTCCACTATTCTTTTTGATGTTACACATTGCATCTGGTTTATTATGAACGTCCAATGGCAGCTTGAATGTTGAATGTGCTGTTCGCCCACCATCCAGTAAAGTAGCCGCAATGCCTGACGATGCTACTGCTAATGCGATTTTTTGTTGAGACCGTATTTTGGCAAGAATCAACGATATTAAAAATGTCTTACCGGTTCCACCGGGTGCATCCAAGAAAAAAAAACCGCCTTGTTCAGCAGCAACAGCCAGTATAATCCGATCATAAATAATTTTTTGTTCAGCTGTCAGTAATGGTTCACTGTTCATGATAATTGTTGCTAAACTTCCATGGTCATATTGATTTTCTCGTTGTAAATCGGTATTGACTAAGTCGGTGGCTGGACGATTAGGTGATGGCATACCATAATGATTAAGTGGTAAATATGAAATAAGAACACATAAATCCTCGATCAAGTCCAATGCTTC